ACAATCCACCGCCATCGGCGGCGTCCGCAGTCTTCTCTCTATCTTTAAAAGAAAGAGGACTTGGCGGGCCGCAGCACGACGCTCTACCGAATAAGCCACGCACGCGACGCTGATATCGGTGTCAGTAACGCGCCCTATACCCCCTCCCCCTTCACTCGCTCCTCCGCTCCCCTCGCTCGCTGCAGCTGCGCGCGCACCCCTCTCTCTCGCGCGCCCGCTTTCTTTCTCAGTCTCCCGTCGAGAGCGGGTCGTGAGGGGGAGTAAAGTCAAAATCCGTTGGCATTCGCCAGTGAGTAAACGTAAACTCCCCCGTGTGATCAAATTGCGATTCCCAGGAACCATTACACCATAAAGGCACCATAGTGTGATTAATAAATATAATAGTGCGAATTAATAAATACCCCTCATAGCATCACCCCGTGCATTCGCACTTAACCATGTTCACCCTCGGAGAAATGCTCGGGAGTTTTTTATATTTAATCGTGGCGTATGGCAGTCCCAGCAGCCAATAGAATTTCACCGGGTTTGAACGCCGCAATTGGTCGGATACGAAAAAAATGACACATACGTCGGAGCGTATAGACTATTTTACCTAAGACATATGGGCGCCACCCCCTTGAGCTGCTTAGTCGGTATTCTCTTGTTTTGTATATTGCGATGCGAATAAATAAGGCCACTAAACATCGTTTGCACCAAGTTCATCGCTTTCGTGTGTAAAAACAACACGCACGCGTTGTTTTTGATTGCCTGCTTATATATTCAACTTTTTCCAATAAATCATTTAGATGGGACAATGCGCTTGTTTTCTCTTCTTTTGTGTTCATTCGTGCGCTTGAACGTATACATTGCATATTCAACTAGCCCAACTTTCATTTTCTTTTGTGTCTACTGTCACAGTTCATTTAGTTGTTAAAATACGCTAAGCACAAAAGCCCAGCATGGCGGCCCTAAAACGCCTCTATAATATAGTTTATATTTTGACCACTCTTGGGGCATCTTTGCAGTTTCTGTATAGTGAGGCATGCCCTGTGTGTATACTACAACGAGGTGAAGAATGCAACCGTTTGCAGACGTCAGCGCTATATAAACTATTTTACAGGGGAGGGTTCAGTGCCGCTATGCGGGGCTGTTAGCCTTTGTGTTTTGCATCTTTAACAACTGAACGAACGGTGTTACGGTACACCCATACGCATGAAAACAGTTGGGTACGCGCACACGATATTTGATGGCTCTATTAAAAGTTCACGTCACAATATGCAATAACAAGAAACCATCGGTTTCACAGCCTAACATGGCAGCGTCCACATATCCGAAGTAAAACAGTCTATAGACGCCTGCCAAAATCTCCGTTTTTATAATGAGAAGTGCCTCTGTCGACTTACAGTAATTAGAAATACTAAATGAACGGAATATAAATAAATCACGCTTAAAACACGACATAAAGTACGCTCTGCACGGGCGTCTGTCGATAGTCGTGACGGGCGTGAGCTATAGCAAGCTTTGCGCCCAATCATTGCACGTGAAACGCAAGAAATATGCATTCTTGTGTAGACCCTCGCAAAATGTAGAAATCGCACGGGCAAGTTCGCGAGAGGGAATTTCACGGGTGTCTGATATAAACTCGCCGGCGAAGTTTCCGAAATTTAAAAAAAAGGAACGATACTCGAAACTGCTTGCGTGTTTAACAGTTCGTTATCTCTTGTTCATTCCTTTGCTTCAACGATAAAAGCGTGCTTCAGGCGGCAAACACAACGTGCTTTCTATGGAGATGCCCGACGCGCAAAGATATTTATGCATGCTACGTCTCCAGAAAATTGCTGCATTCTACAAAAAGGGCCAACGCATAAGCATGCAGATCCCCAAAGCTCTCTTGATTCCTCGTTGGGGGCGCGCGTCGGGAAACTGTTATCCGGAGAGGAGAGAATGAGTGAAAACAAAAGAGCAGGAAAGAAAGAAACCCACCGCACGGCCCAACACTAATGCACATTATACAGGCCGAGTGTGCACGGGCTCACGTAAATGCTCGGTGAAAACGGGGGGGGGGGGGGGGGACTTTGAGCGTGCATATTTCACGCGAAAGCAGCCTCAATTTCCCTTTATGGGTGACCGCGCCACCACCGGCCCTGACGCGGCCCAGCAAAGTGACGGCGCCTCGTAATCACCCCCGCGGTGCGCTGAATCTCACCTCATTTCGCCGCGGTATAGCGGTGGTCCGTTAGAACTACACTTATGCGCGCGAGGTTCGGCCGTAGACATAACTCTCCGCGACAGCCTGTAGGTCCGGCGCCGAGACGAATCGTCAAGAGGGCGGCGCGGGGCCCTGCTGCAGCCAACCTTAAAGGCCGCTTTCATTGCGCTGTTTCCATAGCAGCTCGCATACCTCGACCTTCGAGGGACGGTGTACCGCCGCCATACAAGCGCGCCGTCGCTCGCAGTAGGGCCACTCTGGAAAATGAGATTGCGCTCTTTTTTTTTTTTAACTCCGCCATATAACTTCTTTTTCGTGTAAAGACACGCGCGCGCACTTCCACTCCGCCTAGCCGCGTACGGTGCGCAGGAAAGTAAACAAAGCAAGCGATACTGAAAAGCCGAATGCGGCACCGCCGGAGAGCTCGCTGGACGAGCACAGTTTAGTTTCGCATTAGTGCACGTCGCAGAGCGATACCAGCTACAAATATGCGACGGAGAGAGCGCGGCGAAGCTCGCCAGGAGCGAAACTTTTTCCGTCGGGGAAGGCCAATGCGGAGAACAGAACTGCGTTAATGAGAAGGATTTAAAGTGACTCAAGCAGAGTCAGCGCACACGACGTGATTATGGCCGCAGTTTGGCTCCGGGTGGTTGCCACAACCTTTGCCAAAACAGTCGAGGCGGCAGGGAGGTAAGGCCAAGTATACTTGGTCGGCCGCTTATGCCTAACGAAAGAAGACGGTAGCAACGAAAAGGAGTTAGACCTGATGCGCCCTATATATATAAGCCTATAGTGCACGACATAAGGCCCTTAGAGTATAAAGCATTCGGACAATACGACCTCAATCGGTCATGCCTTCAGAAAGACACTACAGGCTTGCAGTTCTTTTTAAACACGACCGTGCTTTGTCATCGCTTTTTAACGCGTAGTTAGTTAACCTTATTGTTCGTGCGCCAATACGGCGGAAGTACACAAGAAAGAGTTCATGTCTGTTCTGTTGTTCGCGCTGTTTCTCGAGCGTTGCCCATGGATACTGAGGCCGGTTGGTACATGTTTAAGGAAACCAGAAACGGCGCGAAACACAGAAAGAGGTTTACTGCAATGACAAAATAGGAGATACATGCGTGAGCGTATTGTCGATAGCACTCCTCACGAAGGAACTTGCGCATCTTAACTTCTAGTGGGTCAAGGCTTTTTTTTTTCATTTCTCAGATGACTACATGACATTGAAAACAGATACCTTCTCACTGCTCTTCACTCTCTCACACACTTTCATGATTCGTGTGCGTACATAGATACTCCATTCGGACGGAATAAAGCCTTGAATTTAAGTCCGAGCTTGGTCTGTCTCTGGTTTCCATGTCACTCTACTGTCGATGTTGGCAGGCGTGCCGTGGGAAAGTTGACATTTAACATCAAAATAAACCATTTTATCGGCATTTACTGAAAATTGCACTTGATCAAAGCCGTCCCTGTATACAGGGGACTTGTAGGGCCAAATCGACTCATTTTCTCAAAAAAAAAATTAAAATGGCGCGAGCGCCCCATTGAGGATCACTTGCATGCAGCGAACTTTCCAGCGACATTTCGCGTGCGAGAGCCTGCGCAGAAACATAGCGCCACGCCTTCGTCGTGCAGCGAGTACATGCAACTAGAAGCAGGAAGTCAGCGCTGCCACCAGCACTATTAAAGTGTTTCGGCGAACATAATTCGAAAGCAGTCCCGTCCCGCCCAAAGGTCAGAGCCAAGCAGTCTCTGCCAGGTAGCTGCTGCGCAACCACTTGTAAAGGCAAATGCATTTCTTAGTCGGGCTATGTCAGGCGTCCTGCGGCGTCCACGCACAGGCAGGAGTTACAGACAGACAGACGGACGGACAGACAGCCACCGACAGGCGGATGAACGGACGCTTCACCCCACTCATCACCATTCACTTTGCGTATATGCTGTGATTATTTAAAATGCGAATGCATTTCTTAGTCGGGCTTTGTCAGGTGTGCGGTGGCGTCGGAGCGCCGGCAGGTGTTATCTCCGCTCTCACTTTCTCTCCCATAGCAACAGCTGCGGACGCGCGCGCTTAACCTCGCCCTTACCAACCGGAGCAGGTGGTGCGGACTGAATAGCGGAGAGTGAGTGGAGAGGTGCACGCTCTGGCTTGTGAGAGCACTCGCATCGCGGGAGCTCGGCGGAGCTCCCGCGTGTGTCGAGGCAGTCAAAGAGAGCGTAGGCTGTCTCGCCGCTCCTTCTCTCGCCGTTCGCTCTCTCTTCCCTGCGCCCCACTGTCCCGTCCACTCGCTCGTACCTATGAACCACGCGCCTCATTCTCCACCGTTCGCTGGCTGATGAATGTGTGACAAATCCTAGTCTCGCCATTAATTTAAGCCATTAAAATTACTACGCCGTGTACTCTCGGCGCTAAAAATGTTTTCGCATTTTCTCACGATTCCCTTCGTGGAGGTGGGGGCAGTTTTTTTCGCCAGAAAATCACTCCATCGGGATGGGATTTCACACACTCCCAGCTCCGCCCATGCGACTTAGCAGAACCTCTACGTCAAACGTATTCCTTCTCCTCCATCTTACTCTGGGTTTCACTCTTAACCGAAACCATACTAACCCTCTGCTTCAGCATGATAGCGTCGTAGCAAAGTAGATGTTATGGAGTAAGACCAGGGAGGTTAACTTCGAAGAGCTTACTTTACTACGTTGCCATTAGTAAGAGAAACTGAAGGATTACAATAAACTGAGTGGTAAGTCAAACACAGCAGTATACGGTCAAAGAGCATGCGTATCAGCTAGACGCACAGCGGAGGCGTACCTGATGTAGTCGTTTCGGCACAGGATCATGCCGGCCTTCGCGAAGCAGGAGGCGCCGATGTCGGCCAGCGTGGCCTGGCAGCAGGAGCACTTGAGGCAGCCGTTGTGCCAGTAGCGGTCCAGCGCGTGCAGCAGGTACCGGTCGAGGATCTTGGCCCCGCACCCGGCGCAGCAGCGGCCCTGGGCGTCCTCGTAGGCGCTCTGCTGCTGCTGGTAGAGCGGGTGCTGCTGGCCCACGTCTCCCGGCGGACCCTGGGGGCCGCCACCGCACGGGGGGCCGCCACCGCCACAGGGGGGCCCGCCGCCGCACGGCGGGCCCGGCACGCCCTGGCCGCCCGCCGAGCCCGCCACCTGTGCGAGTTGGGACACAACACACGTGAATAGCCGTTCAGAGGCTGGTGACGTACGACGATCAACCCTCCGGCGACAACTTTGTACCTACGACGGACCGATATTGCTTGATTGGGACTCGATTGTAACGGAGCCGGAAGGAGCCCTGCAACACTTTCTGAGCATGGTCAGAAAACACTGCCGATCGGTAGTCGAGGCACCCGAGAACGCAAAATACATTATGGCACAGCTCACGGCCTATAACGTAAAACAAGTCAGCAAAAAATCCTTCACTATTTACTCCAAAAAAAAAATGATGCCACAAAAGCAAATGACCACGCCACAAGCCGAAGTGGCCATAGTTTGATTTGGGTATCGCGAGCTGCGTAGTTACCGTGGACGCATCGGAAGCCGCCATGTGCCCGCGTGCACACTCGCTCACGATCACGCTGAAAGTAAGCCGCGCATTCGAAGAATTAAAAAAAAAAAAACAGAAGATAACAAATTCATGACGCACGCTGACGAAGTAACGTAGCTCCTTGCCCACTTGTAATTGCCACAGGCCACTTTTGTTCTTTTTTTTCTTTTTAAACTATGAAACCAGCGATCAGCTCGTCGAAGGAGGGACTTAAGTTCTATCATTTGACCATATCTACTACCTCACTCCACGAAGGAAAAAATTGACTTAATTTCCTTAAATACTGGCTTCAGTAACTTGCCTAGCCATCTTAAAATGTTCACCCCTCGGTAAAAATGCAATTATAAATGCAGCAACGAAATATTTCCTTTCTCTTATTTTTGAGGGTTTTTGATACATCCAGTACACATACAGTGATGTGGTCGGCGGTGGCACAAGGCGAAGTGACATATTGCTACAAGCACGAGGTGCAACGCTGTAAATATACAGTTGAGCCTCATCATAATGAAAAACGACCAAACCATAAATGTGTTCGCTACATACGGAATTCCTTGTAGCAGTCATGATAAAGATCGGCTCTGACAAATCGGCAATCTGGATCGCCCGAAAATCCCGGACACGGAAATGCATTAGGGCCAAACCTCATAAGCGCGAAAATTCACGCGACAGCGACGAGCGACGCGACGTAGATCGTCTTCGCGCGATCAGTCGCTACAGCGCAGGCAAACCTCATTCACGCGACGGCTTCGGCGAGCGAATTCCACTGTTGCTGGCATGAGGCCGTCTAACCGTACCAAGAAAACCGCGTAGCGAGCGGTATGCAATTTAAAAATAAGATATATTGTTGTTTAATGGAACGGAAAGTGTTTATTACTGCCTTGCAGAACTTTTTTTATATGCACATGCGTAAACATTGCGTCATTTCTTGTTGCGCATACGTGACTCGGTCAGGGTCACGTGAATCTATGTAGTCTTCGTCTTTTCCGGTTTTTCGCTATTGGCTGCTTGAGCCCAGCACTTCCGGGCGATGAGCGACGGTTTCCAAATCTGGAGAACCAAGCGATCGCGCGAAAACGAGCACGCGACACGTCGCGCGAACGCCCTGTTTCGTCGCTCATAGCGTCGCTCGTCGCTCGTCGCTGTCGCGTGCATTTTCGCGCTTATGAGGTTTGCTCTTTATTCCAGGCTTCTAACCAACTCCAAACGACGCAGTTCTTGTCTGTCTCCTTATGGTAACTCAAACTAAGTAGATCCGAGCTCATATGTCGGCGAACTTACCCAACAGTCGATTCACTCAGACTCGGTTTATGCCACGAGTCTTGGTCTGAGCGAGTGCGGGTGAATAATTTTCGGTGAGTTTGAGTCCGAGTGAATGCGGTTGAAGAAAATTTTAGTGAGTGTGAGCTTGAGTGAGTCCAACTCAGCAAAATTATTGGTCAGTCGGAGTCCGAGTCAGTCCCAGGCGCTAAATATATTTCATGAGTGAGTCTGAGTGAGCTCCGCAAATTTCGCCGACCTATGCCGGAGCATGAGAAAGTGAAATTACAACAGAACAAAGTTGGTTTGACAAAACAGGCCTGCGTTAACGTTTATTCGAAGAAAAGTACTCTCTTCTTCGTCGCTTGAGTGAACAATGTTTTTCCGTTCTATTAATACCTTATAGAACGCGGAACTAATCAAGTACGTTTCTTTCCCCTCTTTCTTTTTTTTTGTGCGCTGGATGACCAAAGTTAACGCAACTTTTTTATTCACATTTCTGAACCAATATTCTAATGTCGCAACCGCACTTAAAAAGTGTGGTTGTGAATTGCCTAAGTATTTGTTTTGCTATTATATGACCTTGGCATAGTTTCAATCCTCACGCCAACACGACGTTTCTTCGTTACAGCCGATATCCAGGCGGCTTTCGTATTATCGGTTTTCTTTGTAAAAAAAAAAAAAAACTTTCTTGAAAAAAAAATGCATTACTACCCATTGTTTGTATTCGCTATCTTTGTAAAAAAAAACTTTCTTGAAAAAAAAATGCATTACTACCCATTGTTTGTATTCGCTATAACCGATAATTCGATATATAAGTGTTTTTATCACGAGCTTAAACTGTAGTATAGTTTAAAAAAAATAAAACAGTCACAATTGGGATACAGCCAGCCATAACCGTGAAACCATCTATTTTTAAACATTGGGGTGCTTTATCAGCCACAGTAATATGTTAGAACCGCACCAACATCGTTAGCATACAGCATTTTCTGAAGCCTCCTCGGCCGCGTAAGTTGGTTATTGCGCACAGTAACATAACACTGTTAAATAAGCTAAGAGATGTCTTGCAGACTTTAAAAAGTGAGAGAAGACGATAATAGAGTATTTCTGTATTTACCGTACAGTATTACCGTCACTGCTAAAGTAACTTCTTAAGAAAAAAATTGAAAACGTGCGGTATTACGGTATACGAAAAGAGGCTTGTAGATTACAAGGATACCAGCCACTGCAAACGCCCGAAAAGTGAAAACGGAGTAGTTAGATATCAAGAGATCTCAACTGTTTCAGCGAGAGCACCCACAGCGCAACTTCACAATGAGAGCCCAGGCCAGTGAGGCAGCCCGTACAAGCCAGGTATGACTTCACTCTGGCGTTTTGATATTTCAAAGTGCAACGTCAGTTTAAAGTAGTGCACTGGCAGTAAAGCTCATTAAACATTAACCTTCGTCATCATTGTGTCTCCACACCTTATGCCACGCCACTTTCCTGGTGAACTGATGCGCCTGTATTAGTATAGAGGCTGACGGGCACAAGCACACAGTATCTTTAAAGGCTGGTGCCCCCTTTTCTGTGGCTTGCGCGTTCCTTGCTGCAAGGTTTCTTATAGCTCCAAGATGCATGACCAAGATTCATTTATTCTCGTTAAAAATTAATATAGCCTTTTTTATGCGGATAACTTTAGTTTCGGTTTCTGGGCGCCTAGCCTGGCAGTGACGTAGCAATGTAGCTGGGTCACGTGTCCACACAAGGCTGTGACGCACGTCGTGCTGATTATCGTCTGCTCTCTATGGCTCTCTCGCACACACGAGCCGCACAATCACCTGCAAAACAAACGTGTAGATGCCTCGATGCTTTGCCGGCACGTACGTGGCGGAGGTCTCCGGAGGTCACTAACCTCACAACAATAGATGTGCACATGGGAGAGAGGTAAGGGCGCGGCCACTCATATAGCGAAGAGGAGGGTGCAAACACAGCCCTACACATTAACATAATCGGGAGGGGGCGAGCTGCGATGAACATTTGCTCCTCCTGAAGGGGAAACCTGCGCATGCCTACACACTATAGATCTCGTGTGACGTCACTGCAACTTTCGTTGCCTTTCGTACAGCGACACTTCTGGGCGCACTTGCGATGGGTTTCCGCCAAGAAAGTGAGCATCAAGGTAGACTTCGAAGGTGAATTAAAATGTATTCTAAACGTTTGCTGTGTCCGAGCGTTCGTGTGGAGTGTCCTACCACACAGAGGAAACCCACAAGCGGCTTGTTCTGGCCTCAAAATGTGATAGCACCACCCCTTTAAGTTTCCCAAAATTGAGTGATATGAAAGGATTAACGTCCCAAAACCATCATATGATTATGAGAGACGCCGTAGTGGAGGGCTCCGGAAATTTAGACCACCTGGGGTTCTTTAACGTGCACCCAAATCTGAGCACACGGGCCTACAACATTTCCGCCTCCATCGGAAATGCAGCCACCGCAACCGGGATTCAATCCCGCGACCTGCGGGTGAGCAACCGAGTACCTTAGCCACTAGATCACCGCGGCGGGGCAAGTTTCCGAAAAGTCTAACCTTGTCCGCGAAGAACCAGCAGGCCTACGCGAACGCGCGGCACAGTCACCGAAAAAACTGGGAGAGCGGCCTTTTTACAGCGAAAGCTGTTATGAGATCACAACTTGGGTCACGCGAAATTGACCGCCACCACCGCCAGTGTCCGTAAGCACATTGCGCGAATGAAAAAAAAAATACTAGCACCAAAGACACAGCGGGGCTCGAACCCGGGCCCGCTGGGTGCCAGCCCAGTATTCTACCACTGAGCTACGCTGTTTTTTTTTTGCTCTATTGCCTGTTTCCAGATACTACGTACATGAACGATGCCGTAAAGGTCGCGAAAACAAGTGTTCGCCGTCTTACTGAATAGACACTAGCTTTAAAACTCCTTGAGAGCTGTCAGGGGTTCCACCCTCGAGAATCACTCATGAAGACTCCTGTGTTTTCGTAAGTTCTACTAATTTCGACATGCACTCTCGAAAGTACATTCTTGCGGATCGTGCATCGAAATCACATTGAAATCCTGCCATACGGGCTCACCATCCTCATTTTCAATCGGTAGAAATCTGATACCGTATGGGTCTAGCGAGAATTCTTTTTTGATTATCCTCTGCAATACACCCCAAAAATACACTACCTCCCAGCAGTGTAAAAAAAAAAAAACGTGGTCAATAGTTTCTGGCTTATTACAAATAAGACAGTCTGAACCCCAAGGTAGAAAGACACACCGCTCTTATAGAAATACCTCGCCGTGCAAAGTGTCGGTGTGAAGCCTAAAAAAGAAGGTCTTTGTGGCAGG